CCAAAATCAGTAGAAGAGAAATAACAAAGAGTAAATCAGAAATAAATGAATTAGAGATTATTTTAAATACAAAAAAAGACTGATGAAACAAAGTTGGCTTATTGAAAAGATAAACAAAACTGATAATCCATTAGTTAGACAAAGAAAAAAGGAGAGACTACTCAAATAAATAAAATCAGAAATGAAAAAGAAGACTTTAAAATTGATATCACCGAAATACAAAGGATCATAAGAGACTACTAAGAACAATTACATAAAAAAAAAAACTGGGAAACCTAGAAGAAATGGATAAACTCCTGAATCTTTCCCAAGGTTGAATCATGAAGAACTAGAAAACCTAAACAGACCAATAATAAGAAATGACATTGAAGCAGTAACAAAAAGTCTTCCAGCAGTGAAAACCCCAGGACCAGGTGGCTTTACCACTGAATTCTATCAAACGTTTAAAGAACTAATACAAATTCTTCTCAAACTCTTCCAAAAAAATTGAAGAGGAGGGAATACATCCAAACTCATTCTACAAGGCCAATATTAATGTTATACCAAAACCAGAAAAAGATACAATGAAAAAGAAAACTACAGACCAATATAGCTAATGAACACAGATGCAAAGATCCGCAACAAAATACTAGCAAACAGAATCCAACAACATATTAAAAAGATTATTCACCATCTTCAAGTGGGATTCATCACAAAGATGCAAGGATGGCTCAACATATGCAAATCTACAAACATGATACATCACATCAACAGAATGAAGGGGAAAAACCATATGATCATTTGGATAGGTACAGAAAAAAGCATTTGATAAAATACAATACCCCTTCATAATAAAAGCATTCAACAAATTAGGTACAGAAGGAATGCATCTCAATGATAAAGGCCATATGTGACAAACCCACAGCTAATATCACACTGAATGAACAAAAATTAGAGGTTTTGCCTCTAAGATATGGAAAAATAGAAGGATGCTCCCTTCCTCTTCTTTTCTTCATCATGGTACTAGAAGTTCTAGCCAGTGCAATAAGGCAAGAGAAAGCAATAAAGAACATCCAAATCAGAAGGAAGGAAGTCAGAGTATCCCTATTTGCAGAAGATATGATCATATACATAGAAAACCATAAAGATTCCACCAAAAAATTACTAGAACTAATAAATGAATTCAGTATAGTGGTAGGATACAAAATAAACACACAAAAATCAAAAGCCTTCCTACATGCCAATAATGAAATAGCTGAAGAGGAAAACAAGAAAGGAATCCCATTCACAATAGCTACAAAAATAATCAAAATACCTAGCAGTAAATTTAATAAAGGAGGTAAAAGACCTCTACAACAAAAACTATAAAACATTACTGTAAAAATTGAAGAGGACACAAATAAATAGAAAGATATCCCATGTTCATGGGTTGGAAAAATTAACAATAATCAAAATGTCCACATTACCTAAAGTAATCTATGCATTCAATGCAATTCCTATCAAAATACCAATTACATTCCTTACAGTAAAACAAAACAAAACAAAACAAACAAACAAAAAACTTATAATTTGGATGGAACCACAAAAGACCCCGTATAGCTAAAGCAATCTCTAACAAAAAGGACAAAGTTGGAGGCATCACATTAGCTGACTTCAAAATATACTATAAAGCTATAGTAACCCAAACAGTATGGCAATAGCATAAAAATGGACAAATAGAACAAACAAATGGAACAGAATAAAGAGCCCCACTACACCCCCTCCATGCACTTAACAGCCAACTTATTTTTGACAGAGTTGCCAAGAATATACAGTGGGGAAAGACAGCCTCTTCAGTAAGTGGTGCCAGGAAAACTGGGTATCAACATGCAGAAGATTGAACTAGACCCCTGTCTTTCACCATACACAAGAATAAACTCAAAATTGATTAAAGACCTAAATTTAAGATCTGAAACTATGAAAGTACTAGAAGAAAAAATGAGGGAAACACTACTCAAAATGGGAATGGGTTAGTCCTTTTTTGAGTGAGACTACAAAGGCACAGGCAACTAAAGCAAAAATACACAAATGGAACTACATTAAACTGAAAAGCTTCTGCACAGCAAGGGAAACTATCAACAAAATAAAGAGACAACCTACAGAATGGGAGAAAGTGTTTGAAAACTACACTTCTGACAAGAGGCTGATATCCAGGATATGTTAGGAACTCAAGCAATTCAACAGCAAAAAAATGCCAAATAACCCAATTAAAATATGGTCAAAGGATCTGAACAGACATTTCTCAAGAGAAGACATACAAATGGCCAACAAGTACATGAAAAAATGTTCAGAATTATTGATCATCAGGGAAATGCAAATTGAAACCACAATAGGATATCATCTTCATCATCTCACCCCTGTTAGAATGGCTATTATCAACAAGACAGAAAATAACAAATGCTGGCAAGGATGTAGATAAAAGGGACCATTCTACATTGCTGGTGGGCATGTAAATTGGTGCAGCTATTGTGGAAGACAGTGTGCAGGTTCCTCAGAGAACTAAAAATAGATCTACCTTATGAGGCAGGTATCCCAATACTGGGCATATACCCAAAGGAAATGAAATCAGTATATCAAAAAGACACCTGCACTCCCATGTTCATTGCAACACTGTTCACAGTAGCCAAGAGATGGAATCAACCTAAATGTCCATCAGTGAATGAATGGATTAAAAAACTGGTGTATATACACAATAGAATACTATTCAACTATTAAAAGAAATTATACCCTATCATTTGAAGCCACATAGATGGAAATGGAAACCATCATGTTAAGTGAAGTAGGTCAGGCATAGAAAGACAAATACCACATAATCTTACTCATATGTGGAATTTAAAAAAAAAAAATGTGGTTCTTACAGAAGTAAAGAGTAGAATACCAGTTACCAGAGGCCAGGAGGGAAAGGGAGGGGAGAAAAAGTGGTGGACTAATGGGTAAAAACCTATGCTATATACTCTAAGTGAATCATTGTGTGGTATATAAATGTATTGAAACAACACACTAGGCCCCACAAAAACGTACATGTAAATGTTAAAATAAAAAATAAAGTTAATCAATAAATACAATCTCAGAATATAACTTGTTTATAATAACATCTGAATAATGAAATAAGCAGAGATAAATGTAGTAAAAGATATTCAAGCCTAATAAGCCAAAAACTAAAAAATGTTGGCAAAAATTTAAAGAAGACCTAAAAAACATGGAGAGATATATCACATTTATGAACTGTTAGGATAATACCTCTTGCCTAATTGACCTGTAGATTCACTACAATCCCAATATAAACTTCAGAAGCTTTTTTTTAAGCCAAAGGACCTGTTTAATTTGTTATATAAGCATGTGTACCATATACCAAATATGTTATTTAAATTAACATCACATAATAGAAAATACCTATGTTCAAAGTCTATCGATGTTCTAGGATTCTGAGCTATTTTCTGGTATGGAAAATAGACCCAGCATCTCCATCTGCAGTGGATGCATGCTGCTCTCTGTGACAATCAAGTAATGCAATGGTCCTCCTAAGTCCACAGTACACATTTGCTGTAAAGTGCCTGCTGCAATTTTCTGGTCCTCAGCTCCAACCCTCTCTAAGCCAACACACAGTGTCTCCTCAGTGATTGCTGGTTCTTCTCCTCATATTCTTTGATTTTGAGCAATCTCCAAAAGCTACTGGGCTACTCATATAACAAGGGCATTCATAGATCTTCCTTCCTTTGATCAGGTTTTCCAAAGACTGCTCTTTTACTTAGATGTCTTTCCAAAACATAAATGCTGCTTATTCCCCTTTCCCCAATTTTTAATGGATATGTAGTAGATTACCTCTTAGACGCATCTCTCACTGTTGTTTTCAAACCACTCAGTCCAAGGAAAAAATAAAAAGAGGGGGAAAGAAGAAATGACTATAATCAGAAATAAAGCAGGAGCATGGTAGAGCATTTGCTGCTTCTATTATGCTTGAGTGGGCTTTGAGGAGAAAGACGTTCTCTTCCTTTTTTGGTCTCTGCTGTTGACGCTCCTAGTGTCACTGCAGTCGAGTGTCTGGTAGACCAACTGCACAGCCACTGTGGCTTCTGCTGTGGTGCTGAGCTACTTTTGCAGCAGCTGTGGCTGTGGAGGTGGCTGTGGTGGGCCACCTGCATGGAAGTGGTGTTTTTGGCATGCTCCTTGCTTGCTTCTGGGTGGGGGATGCTGTCCTTGGCTCCTGCCTAGGAGCCAGGTGTGCTGTATTTTCTGACTCCAGAAGCTTTTTAGTAGAAATTCACAAGTTTATTTGAAAATTTACATGCAAATGCAAACAATCTAAATAAAACAAAAGCATTTATAAGATCAATAGACTCACATTATCAGATTTCAGGACTTATTATAAAGCCACAGTAATCAAAATGTGTAGAGTTATCATATGAATAGACATACAGATCAATAAAATCAAATAGAAAATAGAGAAATACAATCATGCATATATGATCAGTTAATTTTTTATAATGATGCTAAGGCAATTTAACAGAGAAAAAAATTCTTTTCAATAACTGTTGATTAAACAACTGGATATCTACATTGGAAAAAATGAATAACAATCCTTACACTATACATTAAAAAAATTAACTTTAAGTCATCATAATCCCAAATATAAGAGCTAAAAGTATAAGACTTGTAAACAAAGGGAGGGATTACTGCCATTATAACAGAAACCCTACAGAGCTAGTTTGTCCCTTTCACTGTGTGAGGACACAGCTACATCTATGAACCCAGAAGCAAGGCCTTCACCAAATACTGAATCTGCCAGTGCCTTGATCTTGGACTTGCCACGTGGCAGAACTATGAGCAATTAATTCCTGTTGTGCATAAGCTACCTAATTCATCATAGTTTTTTATAGTAGTCCAAACAGACTAAGAAAAACATCTTCTCACTGCTGGATGTTTCTTGTTCCTCTCTCTAGGCTAAGGTACCTATCATGATATTCCACTTACACAGTCCACAGATGCTGAAGATGCTAGAGAAATCCTTGAGGAAAAGCCTCCCTGAGTCCTTAAAGGTGAGAGTGTGACATTCTCAGGGAAATAAACGGCTGCATTTTCCTGCCTCTGACAGAGGTGGGAAAGAGAATGAGCTTTTACTAAGCATCTACTGTGTGGCAGGATGCATCTCATTTAGTTCATGTAACTTCCCTGTAAGGAGATGCTCATGTCTCAGAAGAGGAAACAGGTCTCAGTAATGTGACTTCCCGGATATTAAAAAAAAATGGGAAAATATTGCTTACTCTGCTGACTCAAAAAACATTTCATTGTTTACATCCAAAAAATGTTTCACAATGACACTGGAAATTTTTCCAAATTTATCTTTAAAAGGCTGATCTAAATACATACTAATTTTTAAACATTTGTGCCAGTTAGGAGGTTAACCACCAGGTATATTATTGGAACATATAATTGGTCAAGTTCTATTTCATCAAAACCCAAGTCTATGTATTACTCATGAAAGAGACCTAGAAATGATTATACACTATTCATTCTTTATGGTGACAATATTTGCTACAAAAGTGTTGAATTTATGCATATTTTTACTTATTTTTTATTTTTAACATTCAGGTGATTACTGAAAGTAGTAACCAATTTTTTAAAGCTTTTTTTCCCACCTAAAAATAGGAGAAGGGGACCAGAGCAAGGAATGGACAATTAAGTATGAAGAGGGAGAACATTAGTGGGAGAGTAGCAGAAGCCTAGTGAGGAACCTATGGAGCATGACAAATGAGCAGAATGGTGTAGAAAGGAGAAAGAGGCATGCAGCTCCAGCTGCTACCACGTTTCTGACACCAGAATCAGCAAAGGAGGAATTCTTCCTTGCAAAGAAAAGACTCTGCTTGGCCATGAGCACTTCCCAGTGGTAAACTTCCTCTTTCTTGTGCCCCAGACCACCCCACCCAATGTCTAGTCCCAGAGCTGTGCCTTTGTTCCCACACAGGAGTTGGTCTTACATAGTGCACACCACTGTGTAGCCCATGCCACTCACACAGCCATGTTTTGTCACCTGTGCGGCCAAGAATGCTCACATGGCCCCAACTGCTTGGCCACATGTGCAGCCCCAACTTCCCAGCCACCCACACAGCACCCCCCAGCTGCCTGCATAGCCCCTCCCACCCATAGGGAGCCAGCCATCCAGCTGCCCATCTAGCCCCAGCCACTCCAGCCAAACACAGATGTCCATTCCTAGCTGAGTATGTGGTCCCATCTGCCCACATGGCTGAAATATTCTGGCCACCCAAGAGGCCCCAGCCAACCCCACCACCCTGCCCACCAGGGTGGCCCCAGACATCTAGTCACTTACTTGGCCCCATCTGCCATAGCTGCCCATTTGGCCCCACCCACCCCATTGTTCATGTAGCTCTAGCCACAGACCACATTAAACTACTGAGTCTACCTGGAACCAAAACTAAAACCCCACCCAAGGGGCAATATAAAACCAAATCTACAGGAGGGATTCTCTCTACTCAAAAGCCACTTCAAAGTAGTAGAAGCAACCACTCCATCAAATGACATTAACACTGAGATACTAGAATATGAAAAATGAGAAACTATTACACCACCAAAGGAATACTATAGTTCTTAAATACCAGAGCCCCCAAACAACAGGAAACACATGAAATGCCTGAAAAGGAATTCCAAGAAACAATCATAAAGAAACTTAGAGAGATACAAGACTCAGACAGATGACACAACAAAATAAGAAAAACAATCTAAGACAGGAAGGAAGAAATTTACAAAGAGATTAATGCCATACCAAAAACCAAAAAATGTAGCAGAACTACTGGAACTGAAAGACTCATTCAACAAAATAAAAACAACAATTAAGAACTTAAGTGGTATGCTAGAACAAGTGGAAGAAAGAATTTCTGATCTTGAAGACAGCCTTTTTGAAATAACTCAAGTGGACCAAAAAATAGAAAGAAAGAAAAACAGAAGAAAAAAAAAGAATTTTAAAAAATGAAGAAAATTTAAGAGAGCTATCAGACAAACTTAATCACATGAACATCCACCCACCATGGGTGTTCCAGAAGGGGAGAAGAAAGGTAAAAGCATTGAAAACTTATTCAATGAAATAATAGCAGCAAACTTCCCAGGTATTGGTAGAGATACAAACTGCCAGATCCAAAGGCTCAAAAATCCCCAAACAGATTCAATTTAAACAGGTCCTTTCTGAGACACATTGTAGTCAATCTGTCAAAAGTCAAAGACAAAGACAGAATCCTAAAAATAGCAAGAGAAAAGCATTCTCACCTATAAGGGAGTCCCCATAAGAATAAAAGTAGACTTTCAGCAGAAATTCTACAAGCCAGAAAAGAATGATAATATACTCAAAATACTAAAAGAAAAAGACTACCAGCCAAGAATACTATACCCAGCAAGGCTATCCTTCAGAAATGAAGGAGAAACAGTGTATTTCCCAAATAAACAAAAACTGGTAGAGTTCACCTCCACACAATGAGCTCTACAAGAAGTCCTCAAGGGAGTCTTGCACCTGGAACCCAAAAAATAATAAGCACCACCATGAATATATAAGAAAAAACAAACCCTACTGATAGAGCATATATGCAAATGGGAAAGTGAAAAACAATACCATAACACCTCAAAAAAAAAAAAAACAATAAATACTGGAGACAAACAATAAAAGGGGAAGAAGGAACAAAAGATATTTAAAACAACATACAAAAGCAATTAAGTGCCAAGAGTAAGACAATACATTTCCATAATAACCCTACATGTAAATGGATTAAATTTGCCACTCAAGGGCTGAGCCCATGGCGCACTCGGGAGAGTGGGGTGCTGGTAGCGCAGCAGTGCTCCCGCTGCAGGTTCAGATCCTACATAGGGATGGCCGGTGCGCTCACAGCGCTCACTGGCTGAGTGCAGTGCGGCTGGTCTCAAAAAGGACAAAAAAAAAAATTTGCCACTCAAAAGATATAGATTGGTCTAATGAATTAAAAACCTCAACCCAACTATATACCACCTACAAGAAACCAACTTCACCTGTAAGGAGTCACACAAACTAATAGTGAAGAGATAGAAAATATACACCATGCAAATGGAAACAAAAAATGGGCAGGAGTAGCCATTCATGTATCAGATAATATATAGATTGTACAAAAATTATAAAGAGAGAGAGAAGGGGGTGCTATATAATAATAAAGGGAACCTACCACCAAGAAGACATAACAATCATAAATATATATGCACCCAATATCAGAGCACCAATATATATAAAACAAATACTATTAGACTTAAAGAAAGAGAAAATTTAAGAAAATAATAGTTGGGGACATGACGCCCCTCTATCAACACTGGGCAGATCATCTAGGCAACAAATCAACAGAGAAACACAGGATTTAAGCTACACTTTAGACCAATTAGACCAGGCAGATATTTACAGAACATTTCATCCAACAACTACAGAATACACCTTCTTCTCATTAGCACATGGAACATTCCCCAAGACAGATCACATGTGAGGTCACAAATCAAGTCCCCCCAAATTTGAGAAAACTGAAATTATTTCAAGTATTTTCACAGACTACAACAGATTAAAACTAAAAATCAATATCAGGTGAAACTTTGGAACCATACAAATACATGGAAATAAAACAACATTCTCCTGAATGACCTATGCATTAAGGAAGAAATTAAACAGGAAATTTAAAAATTTCTTGAAATTATGAAAATAAAGACACATCATCCCAAAACCTATGGCATACAGCAAAAGCAGTACTAAAATGGAAGTTTATTCCAATAAATACTTACACCAAAAGAATAGAGAGATTTCAAATAAACAACCCAATACTATACCTCAAAGAACTAGAAAAACAACAATGATGCAACCCTAAAATTAGTAGAAAGAAGGAAATAATTAAGATCAGAGCAGACGTAAATGTAATAGAGACCAAAAATACAATACAAAAGATCAACAAAAGAAAAAGTTAATTTTTGAGAAGATAAAAAATAGGCAAATCACTAGCCAGGGTAACTAGAAAAAGACAAATAACAAAATTCAGAAATGAAAAAGGAGATATCACAACTGATTCTACAAAAATACAAAAAATCATTACAAATTATTATGAACAACTATACAGCAATAAATTTGAAAACCTGGAGGAAATGGATACATTTCCAGACACATACCCCCTACTATGACTGAACCAGGAAGAAACAGAAAACCTGCCCAGACCAATAATGATCAAGAAGATTGAAGTAGTAATCAGAAATCTTCCAACAAAGAAAAGCTCAGGACTGGATGGCTTTACTGCTGAATTTTAACAAACTTTTAAAGAGGAATTAATACCAATTCTTTTCAACTATTCCAAAATATTGAAATGGAGGCCATTCTCCCAAACTCACTCTATTTAGCCAGTATCACCCTGATACCAAAATCAGACACAGATACAACAGCAAAGGAAAACTACAGGCCTATATCCTTGATATACATAGATGTAAAAATCCTCAACAAAATATTAGCAAACAGAAGAAAGCAGCAAATTCAAAAAATTACACATACAAGGCAATAAATGTGATATAGGACATCAACAAAATCTAGGACAAAAATCATATGATCATCTCAATAGACAGAGAAAAAGCATTTGACAAAATGCAACATCCCTTCATAATAAAGATTCTCGACAAATTACATATAGAGGGAAAGTATCTCAAAAAAAAGCTATATATGACAAACTCACTGCCAATATCATCCTGAATGGAGAAATGCTAAAAGCTTTTCACTTAAAAACAGGAAAGAGACAGGATGCCCACTCTCACCACTTCTATTCAACATAGTATTAGAAGTACTTGCCAGAGCAATCAGGCAAGGGAAAGAAATAATGGGCATCCAAAGTGGAAAAAACGAAGTCAAATTGTCCTTATTCTCAGATGACATGATTCTACATATAGAGAAAAGTAAAGACTCTACAAAAAAATTCTTAGAGCTGATAGCAAATTCAGTAATGTTGCAGTATACAAAATCAATATACAAAAATTGGTAGCATTAATACTCCAACAATGAGCTAGTAGAATAAGAAAGCAAGCCCATTTACAATAACTCTCCCCAAAATAAAATACCTCAGAATAACTTTAACCAAGCAACTACAAGTCACTGCTGAAAGAAATTAAAGAGTGCATCAAAGATGGAAAGACATTCCATTTTTACAGATTGGAAGAATTAACACTGTGAAAATGTCCATACTATCCAAAGCAATCTACAGGTTCATTGCAATGCCCATCAATATACCAATAATTTTCTTCACTGAAATAGAAAAACTATCCTAAAATTCATATGAAAAAGACACCAAATAGCCAAAGCAATACAGAGCAATAAATAAATAAATAAATAAATAAATAAATAAAACCAGAAGCATTAACCTACCTGACTTCAAACTATACTACAGAGCTATAGTAACCAAACTAGCATGGCACTAGGATAAAAGTAGGCACACACACTTATGGAACTAAATACAGCACTCAGAAATCAATCAACATTCTTACAGCCAACTGATCTTTGACAATGGCACCAAGAACATACATTAGGAAAAGGAAAGACTTCATAAATGGTGCTGGGAAAACTGCATATCCATATGTAGAAGAATGAAATTAGACCTGTACCTCTCACCATATACCAAAATCAACTCAAAATTCATTAAAGACTTATATATAAGACCTATAAACTATAAAACTGAAACTATAAAACTCCTAAAGAAAAACATAGGGGAAACACTTCAGAATGTAGCACTGGGGAAAGACTTATTGACTAAGACCCCAAAAGCACAGGCGAAAAAGAAACAAATGGAATCATATCAAACTAAAAATCTTCTGCACAGCAAAAGAAACAGTTAACAATGCAAAGACAATATAAAGAATGGGAAAAATATTTGCAAACTATGCATCCAACAAGGGATTAATATTCAGAATATGCAAGGAACTCAAACAACTTAACAGTAAAAAATAGTAAACTGATTAAAAAATGAGCAAAGGAGCTGAATAGGTATTTTTCAAGAAAAAATATACAAATGGCCAGCAGATGCATTTAAAAATGCTCAACAACACTAATCAGTGGGGAAATGCAAATCAAAACTACATTGAGATACCACCTCACCCCAGACTGACTGACTATTATTAAAAAGATAGAATATACAAATGCTGGTGAGGATACAGAGAAAGGGGAACACTTCTACTCTGTTTTTGGACTGTAAATTAGTATAACCATTATGGAAAATGGTATGGAAGTTTCTCAAACAACTACAGGTAGAACCACCATATAATCCAGTAATCCCACTGCTGAGTATATCCCTAAAGGAATGGAGATCATCATGTCAAAGGGATACCTGCACTCCCATGTTTATCACAGCTCTATTTATAATAGCTAAGAGTTGGAGCCTAAATGCCCATTGATGGATGACGGGATAATAAAAATGTGATATATATATACACAATGGAATACTACTCACCCATAAAAAGGAGTGAAATTCTGCCATTTGCAGCAACATGGATGAGCTTGGAGAAAATCATGTTAAGTGAAATAAGCCAGGCACAGAAAGAGAAATACCACATGTCCTCACTCATAAGGGGGCATGACAGAGAGAGGAGAGAGGAGAGAGAGAGAGAATACAACAATCACAGTAACATATTGAACTTTCAGGAAGAGAAAATAGAACTTGGGTTACTACAAGTGGAAAAGGAAGAGAGGGAGCTGGGCCAGTGAGAAATTGGTTAATAGACACAAAGAATGATTCTGTATTATAATAATGAATAAGTTAATTTTCCTGATTTGACCATCACATATTGTACACAAGTATTGATAGTCACCTCTGTATTCCACAAATACGTATAATCAATTAAGTTTCAATAAAAAAAAATAGAAGCTGAATTTACATAGGACGTCCAGCTGGAACCTCAGGGTTTGAAACAATGGCAGCATAGAAGCTGTGGTTTCAACAGCAAGCACTCCTTGGCCTTACCTTACAGCAGCCACTAGGCTTCATTTGTGAACTCTTCTAACCTAAAAGCACTCATACAAGGAGAGTATAGTTCTCTTCTCCCTCTGTTACAGATGATGGATCTATGGCAAAGAGAACTTGAAAAACTTGCCTAACAAATTACTGCTGGGACCAGGAATATAATTCACGTAGCCTATTTCAACTCTCCTTAGTCCACCTCCATGTTTTGTGCAAAACAGGACCTCTCAAAACTAAATGCTGGCAAAAATGAGGAGAAACTGGATCATGCATACATTTGTCCTGGGAATGTTGAATGTCACAGCCACACTGAACAAACAATTTGTAAGTTTCATTAAAAACTAAACATGAAAATACATGCCTGAGCATTTTCCCCAGAGAAATATGTTTATGTTCACACAAAAATATATATACAAATTATAACCACAAAAATATCACCTTACCCCAGTTAGAATGGCTATTGTTTGTCAAAAGACAAAAATAACAAATGCTGGCAAGGATGTAGAGAAAGCGGAACTATTATGCAGTGCTGGTGGGAATGTAAATCAGCACAGTCATTATGAAAAACAGTACAGAAGTCTCTCAAAAAATTAAAAATAGAACTATAATATAATTCAGCATTCCCGTTATTGGATAAATATCCAAAGGAAATTAAATCAATATGTCAAAGAGATATCTGCACTTCCATATTTATTGTGGCACTACTAAAAATGTTTAAAGTAATGGATATGGTAATTACCCTGATTTGATCATCATATGATATATACATGCATTGAAACACCGCACTGTATCCCATGAATATGTACAATCATTATGTATCAATTATAAAGAAAAAAGTATAGATAGATAGGTAGATAGATATGGATGTCTATACAGCTTTGTTTGAATTCTCCAAAACCTAGAAAGAACCCAGATGTTCTTCAGTAGATAAACGGTTAAATGAACTGTGGTATTTCCACACTTTGCAATACGACTGTGCAATAAAAAGGAATGAAGTTTTGATACCTGCATTAACTTGGATGAATCTTCAGACAATTACACTGAGTGACTCCATCTGGGCCTGGAGCATTGGGTAGAGAAAAAGAATTCAGTACTGAGAATCTTTCCAACCTAGACCCACATAGGGACCACACCTAACAAGCACCTGGAAACCATGGGGAATCCCAATCAATGCTTTGCGGCATCTGTGCTGGCCCCTGAGGGATGCACAGTGCCTCTGCAGAGGAACTTTGGGAGCTTCCTTTTTTGCTGCTGTCCTGTCATGTGCCATCTGTACAGCAACCTGGATTGAAGCATCCTCTGTTGGTGCCTCTAAACTTGGCTCAGATAACCCTAACTATCCAGTGTACACAGACCTCTCTCCTATGGTTAGGGCACTGTCACACCCTGGAAACAGAAGGTGGGGCCCAGTGAAAGGAGAAACACAGAGAGGAAAGCCCCTAAGTACCAGAAGAGAATTGGTTTGGAATCCTCCCCACCAAACTTGCACAGTGGGGAAACCCACCTCCTCTTATATCCCAAACATATCCCTAGTTCCTAATGTTACTATTTTACAATAAGACATATAATGGAAAACATTACATATTTATAATGAATACAAACTAATATTTATGATCTCAATTTCTTCTCTGTAACCTGAGGGAACCATTGCTTGATCTGACTACAAGCCAGATCTCATTAAATTAAAAATTTGATAAAAATTTCTTATTGCCTTAGCAAAAGAAAAAGGCCCTTGAGAAATCTTGTGAGATATCCTGATTTTAACAGACTGATCTGATGTTGTGAGCAGATTCTAGGTGCTGAATTCCCAAAAGTTCAGATGCCTTTTGACACCACAGATAATTGTCAAGAGTATTAAGTAAAAGAACTGTAATCAAATTAACACGTAAGAATTCTTGAATATTTGCTATGTATTAGAAATATCTCACTTAATTGTTACACCAACATTTGGAGGCACGTTCAAAGCTAAGCCTATTTTGTAGATGAAGAAACTGAGACAGTCTGTAACTTTATCAAGTTTACACAATGACAGTGCCAGGATCTTCAACTTAGCACTTGAAAGCAAGTACTAAAAGTACTAATCACAAATTCTAACTTTTTTGTTCCATTGTATAATGACAGAGTTCAATTTGTTTAATGAGAAAGATTTGTATACATAAATTGCATTGGTCTAAATATTTTACAATGCGAATATTTTTAAAAGATATTTTTGCTAAGGTAAAAAAAGATAAGAGCATAAAAACCAGTTGACAGAAATGCCTATTTATTAAGTACCTTACGATCATAAAAATTCCATGATTTCATAGAAACACTCCTTGTCCTGGTCAAACACAGGGAACTTCACCATCCCCTTGTAATGTGCTGACCCTCCCGCTTTGTTGAATGCAATAGGTTTATGGGACCGTCTTCCACATGAACCAGGGAAACCCGTTCAAGCTAAAGGCCCTGGTGGACAAGTGGCCTGATTTTAATACAGTGGTTGTCCGCCCTCAGGAGCAGGTAAGGTGCCAGCTGTGGAATGAATATGCCTCTGTGTTCATTTTTGCCGTGTGCCTACCACATGCCTGGCAATATGGTCAACCCTGAGAGATGCAGAAATGAATCAGAGTGACGGTCAACAAGTCTCCGTCCTCAAGAAGCTCACAGCCTGGAGGAGAACAGTAATAAGTACACACGTAAATTACGGCATGGAGTGAAATGTGAAGGAACAGAATGCGAACAGAATACGGAGGTAGTACAGGGAGAAAGCTGATTAAAAGTATATGTGGTACACTTTCATACTTATCCATTTTTTTATTTGTTTTTTAGATAATCCCCCAATCAGCATTCTGCTGATGTTAAAGACCAAACACACTTTGTTATTTCTTGCATTCAGCTCAAGGGAATTAAAGGAAACCAATGGAAGGTCGTACTAATTTGAGATCGTGTTGATGGCACAGAGAAGAAGCTGATCTTTTGTTATGGACATTAAAGGAGCATTTTCTAGGCTAGACTCCTATATTTTAATAAAGCAGACCTTGGTTTCATTTTCAACTATTAGCCTAAGGGAGAAGGAGGGGGAATATTTCCTGTCTTTAACAAACACCAGCCTTGAAACCACACCAACTAATTCACACTAGATCACAACTTCTTACTGTAGTACTGTCTTCAAATTGAAATGCTGCACTGTATTGTCATCAACTGTCACCAGTAAAGTCAGTAAAACAGGGCACAAGAAAAAAAAAACAGATGTGGTACTAGAGGTCACAGGAAGAGAATCAACGTTGCTCCCTAATGGAAATTTTCCTAAAACTAGATGTTAAAGATAAATAATACCATTTATAAGCCAGGCAGGAAAATAGCTATTTTCCAAGCAGACAAAAGGGCAATTGCAAGACCTAATGCCTAAAACAGCAGAGCAAATTAGAGAAAATTAAGAAGCAAATGATTTAATAAAAGGGAAAAAGGAAAAATCTTAAATTAAGGCTAGGTTAAGTAGAATATGTATATCTGTATAATGAATACTCTGCTGGCTATGGCTATTAAAATTATGTTCATAAAGAATTTTTAATGACATGGTAAAATAGCACTGTATCTCATGAAAAGAATACAAAATTGTATATTTAGACTGTTAACAGCTGTGTGAAGATATTCATATAAAATACTGGAAGTAAATATGTCTGATTGAAAATTAGCAGAGGTTGTTTCTGCATGGCCCCATTATTGGCTGAGTTTTAATTGATGTCTTTCTATTTCTTACATTATCCTTTCTTTCAAATTCTCAATAGCAAAACATTAATTTTTTTTTTTTTTTTTTTTTTTTTTTGGACGGGTAAGGGGATCGCAGCCCTCGGCACGGTTTGGTCTGCACCACGCGCAGCCAGTGAGCACACCGGACATCCCTATATAGGATCCGAACCCGCGGCCTTGGCGCTACCAGCACCACACTCTCCCGAGTGAGCCATGGGCCAGCCCATAATTTGTTTTTAATTAGCTAAAATTAGGGCCGGCTAGTTAGCTCACTTGGTTAGAGCATGGTGCTGATAACACCGCGGTACAAGGTTCGATCCCTGTACTAGCCAGCCATAATAAATAAATTAATAAACTAACTAATTAATTTAATATTTTTATGTCTAAAAATGTATAATTCTACTTTAAAATATCATGTAAAAATAAAATTTATAAATACAGAAATATTAAACACAATATCATTTTTGTATAACTTAGTTAGAAGTGAAATTAGTAAAATATTATAAGAAGAAGTTTAATTTTCAATAGATACCTGAATGAGAAATAATTTTGACCAGTAGTATCATTGCTGAGCAGAAAGTTTATTTTTGTTTAATTTTCCAGATAATGGAGGAAAAAAGCTTTCTAATTCTGCACTGGTTGAAGTAACTTTTTCCTCTTATCTATTCCGTTGTATTCAAATAGTCTCATCTTAGGTTTGATAAATTTGCTAGATATATTTGAATTAGTACTTTTGTTTGTTTGTTTGATGATATTGTGGTTAGTTTAACGATGGCAACACTATTTCTTTTTTAACGAAAGCGTATCTAGTCTATTATCTTTTTTTCTTTGGTTTCACCGTTTTATAGATGGATACTCTAATCCTGTTACCTGTACTGACTTTAATAATGACACGTTTATAGCCTACATGTTCTAAAAATCCATTCACTAGATCAAGACTTATTCTTCTGGCTAAAGATTTCACTTGTCAATGGTTATTTTTACTCCTTTACTTGAGTTTTATGGAGATACAGAATAACGATTTTAAATGAATTATCTTCATTCAATTGAAAACTTTAAAGCAATAGCTGAATTAGGAATAATTTTTGTTCAGAACATTTTTTATTATTAATTGGATAAAGGAGTTCTTGACTCCACAATGTAAATAATTCCTAAGTAAAGGCAGTATTCCAGCAGAAAATACTAATTTTAGTATTTAAAAATATCACAATATAAAAGAATACTAAAAACTAGTATGGCAATCACTAAATACAAATATTTTGGTTGATTTTCCTTTCCTAACCCAAACCCAAACAGGAGATGACAGATGACCTTGATCACTACACCAATACCTACCAAATCTATTCCAAGGACCCCGAGAAATGTCAGGAATTCCTTGGCTCACCAGAAGTCATCAACTGGAAACAACATTTGCAGATTCAGAGTAAGGGGTCTGGGATGTGTGCCAACTGCCAGATTTCCTGTGTCTACATCTGTAGGGTTGCTTTTCACCTTGAACAAGTACCCCTGCACCCCACACACCTGTCCTCTAAGCTCTGGACACTCAGCCTGATGTCCATTCTTTGACTCAGCTACCACCACCTCCACAGTGAATTAGAACCTGAAAACTGCTGTGTATGGGGTTTACACAGGAAATTGTGAGTAAGGTAATTTCTTAGTAGCTGAGGACCCATGATTTATCCTCTGATGTGCCCAGGATCTATTAAAAAGCATGGGTATGAAAACAGATCTTCCCCTCTGCCTCATCTCTGTTCTATCACACTGTCAAATCTACAAAGGAGTATTTTAGTGGTTAAGAACATGCTGTCTGGAATCAGACTACCTAACATTGTGACCTTGCTGGGTCTGTTATTAGCTGTGTGATCTAGGGCAAGTGACTTCTTTGTGGATAAGTTTCCTTACATATAAAAATGATTTCAATAGTACCTAAAACAGAGAGTCTTTAAACATTAAATGAGATCTTAAATGGTAAATGCTTAGCACTATCCTGGTTTTATTAATTAGGTTTTCAAACCATCCCAAAGTAGCAAGTTAAAAAAATAATCATTTGTTAGCTCATAATCATATGGTTCAGCAATTTGGATTATGCTCAGCTAGGTGATTCTTCTGCTAGTCTCACTAGATTCACCCATGTGGTTGCAGTCAGTTGGAGGGGTGTCTATGAGCTGGTAGGACTAGTTTAGTCATGATCCTAGGTCTAGATATTGATGCTAGCTTGTTTGTGCTAGCTATTGACTGCAGTGATGGAAGTAAATTGGGCAACAAATAGAAGTCACTGAGTTCTCAGGAGCAGAAAGAAAAGGCAAGCCCCAGCACAAATTTTTCAAATCTCATGTTGAATCATGTTTGCTATTGTTTCTTTGGCCAAAGCAAGTTACATGGCTAAGCCCAGGGTCAGTTCAGAAGAGAACATCATGATAGTGAGGCAGAAACAAACTGGGACCATTATAGCAACTATCTACTGCCTTGAGTGCATGGAAATTGTTCAATAAATTTTAGTTATTTTGTTTATATGTCCTCTCTTCTGGTAGTCATAACTGTTCTACGATGTATTCAGGACTTGTGGCATTATCCCAATTTTAAATTTTAAAACAAGTGAGAGTGAGGTAGCCATTATCATAGAAAGCCTATATCATGATTGAACACAAGATTCAATGACACTAAACCCACAAACTTCCCAACTCAGTCAGGCAGCTTTTCTGAAACATTAAAATGAATAATGACATCTCATAGAATTCCTCATTTTCCCCATCAAGGTTCACAGTCCAGCCTGGATAAAGTGATAGAAAATCTTGTAGCCATTAATTTCGGCAAGGTCAAGCATACACGATGCATCCTCTATATGATGCACGAGACAGCAAGGAAATTGTTTCCTTCCCTGGTGGATGCAAAGAACTTACCACCCAACGATGGCGTCCCCACGTCCATGTAAGTTTGATAGAAGACACTGCACTATTCACACCTCTCACTATTGAAGTAGCCTTCTGTATTAGTTTTCAGGGGCTGCCATGAAAAAAATGATCACAAACTGCATGGCTTAAAACAACAGAAAATTATTCTCTCACAGTTCTGGAGTAGAGAAGTTCAAAATCAAGATGCAGGCAGGACTGTCCTCCCTCTAAAGCCCTGTGGGGAGAATCCTTCCTAGGCTTGCGGCTGCGTCCCTCCAGTCTCCAACCCACCTTCACATGTTCACGTGGCTTTCTCCTCTGTGTCCTCTCCTCTTTTCTCTGTTAGAAGGACTCTCGTCATTGGATTTAACACCCGCCAAATAATCCAGGATAACTTCATACTCAGATCCTTCACTTAAGCATCCTTACATCTTCAAAGACCCTTTCTTTAAATAAGGTCATATTCACAGATACTGGGGGGACATATCGTTTATGGGAGGCACCATTTAACCTGTGATACCTCCTAACTTCTCTTCCTGCTTCTGCTTTGGCCTCCCTACAACCTATTTTCTGCAAAATAGTCAGAGTAATTTTTTTACAATTTAAATTAGGCCATGTCCCTCCCCTGCTTAAAAGATTCCAGTACCTCTCTCTAGAACTCATCTCGTCTCTTGCTTATTCCTTCCAACACTGGCCTTTCACTTCCTACTTGACCATCACAGACATGGGCCACTTGAATTAGCTCTTTCCTTTGCCTAAAATAACTTTCCCCCACCCAATCTACACATACGACTTCTTTTGCTATTCAGAACAACTCAAATGTTATCTCACAGAGCCCTAGCTAAACTGCCCTGCCTAAAGTCACTTCCCAGTTATTCTCCACATGTTAACCAATTTTATTTTCATAATAGCACTTATGATTATTTGAAATTAGCTAATTTATTTAACCTATTTTCTTATTTGATGTTTGAATCTTCCCAAATAATATTACAAACCCCACAAGAGCAAGAACTTTCTCTATGTTGTTCACTGATAGATCCTCAACAGCAAAAACGGTGCCTGGCACGTAGTAGGTGCTTAATAAATATGCATTTAATGAATTCACTTCACAGAACTAAAGGTTTCCAATAAAGAGAAATAAATGAATTATACATTTTTCCAAATCAATTTTTAGTTTAATACTGAATAGAATTGATAGCTGATGGTGGGGATTTGGCCCTCTGTGTGACACACATGTGGAACAGCTTTAGTCACATTGTAAAGCACATTATAATCTGGAAGACAACACTACATCTAGAGCCTCTTGTCTGCTCTATGAAATAGGCAGGGTAGGAGACATTCCCTTTCTCCTGACAGAAAGAAGACTCTCATGATGAAGTGGCTTGATCACCATGCAGATGGTTAAGGGCCTAACTGGGGATCAAGTCAAGATCTTCTAGTTCCACATCCTGGGCTCTTTCCAGGATGCTTCCAGAAACCCCTTTACACCACTGCAGAAGTCTTTAGAATTCAGTATGTCATAACAGTTGTCATGTCCACTCCACATTGCTGTCCCTCTGGACTTTGCTTTCAACACGATGGCCAAGGACCCTCTGACATCAGCATTCCAAGATTCCACAATTCTAAGATCTGGCTTTACTGCTTGCTAGCATGAGCTTCAGTGCACTTATTTATTTTCTCTGTAACTTTTTCCTTCTCTGTAAAATGAGAATAAGAATACTTGAGCTGTCTAACTTGGAGGGTTATAACCAAAGCCAAATGAAACACGTATAGCTAATGTTTATGGAGTGCTTACTATCTGCCATGTGCAGGTTCTAAATGCCTACACCCGTTGGCTCGTTTAAGCCTCACAATGCTCCTATAAGGGAGGTGTGATTATCATCTCTAGCCATCAGATAAAGAAATGGAGGAAGTGGGAGATGAGGTAATCAGCCCCAGGTCATATCAGTAGTACTGACATGAAGTCACACAGTCGGGCTGCAGAGCAGACACCCTTAGATATGCTCTTATTTGTCTCCCAGGACAATTTGGGGGAAAACAAACATAATACTTCACTGTATATGTAATGTTAAGAATTGTTTGTTTCTCTTGTTCCCAATAGCAACCAAGAAATGTTTCAAATCTCATCCCTGGATGTCACCCATGCTGCCGTGGTGAATAAATTCTGGCATTTTGGTGGCAATGAGAGGAGCCAGAGATTCATTGAGTGCTGTATCCGGGCCTTCCCCAGCTTCTGTCTGCTGGGGCCTGAGGGGAACCCTGTGTCCTGGACCTTGATGGATCAGACTGGAGAGCTGCGGATGGCAGGCACCATACCCGAGTACCGGGGCCAGGCTCTCGTTACCCATATCATCCGTGTCCAGGTCTACTTTCTGGGAAAACTTGGCTTCCCCATGTATTCCCATGTGGATAGGGCCAACTACATCATGCAAAAACTGAACCTCAGCACACACAGTATCTCCATGCCCTGTGACTGGAACCAGTGGAACTGTGTGCCCCTGTGAAGCTGGCCCTAAACGTACCAGAGTGTTGAGTGGGCTGTGCATGTGGCTGGAAGAGTGAATGAATGGACAGAAAGAATAGATTATAAAGGAGTGAACTCTGAGCTCTGGGAAGCAGTAATGAATGTGAACAGGATACCCTGCGTCCTTGCCCTCAAATAGATCATGGACTTCCCTTAGTCTCCTCAGTATGAAGCAAGCCAGGCACTCCTGCTCCCAGATGGGTACAGCTCCCACATTTGCAGGATCATTGTGATGCTTTTGAATCAGTTGCATGCTTTTCTACATTGCTCTTCCTGGAACTCCTAGCTCATTGAGCCTTGCCCATTTGCTAGGAGGTGCATTCTATGATTTTTTTTCTCTGGCTTTCCTTTTACTGGCTTCTGAATAGGTCTTTGAAAAATTATCCTTTCCCAGGTCACTTTCTGAGTCTTGTATCATAATCACATGAAATACACTACATGCACACACACAAAATACATGTGATAAAACAGGGAGAATTATTAAGAAAAAGACTAACTTTCTTTGCTATTAATATCTTCTTTTGCAATTCATAGCCCAGGAAGGAGACATTTCTTCTAAAAGCTGAACTTCTATAATCTCCTTCCCCCAGTCTCCTTATAAGAGATTTTTTTTTGTTTGATTGTGGAAGTTTAATTTATATGGTCCATAAAGGGAGATGAATGTAGAAGGAGGAGAAAGTGGGACACCCAAACCTAGGAAGATAGGTATTTATCAGGGACGCGGGCTGTGGTAGGCTTTGTACAGGGTGGAGACCTGGCAGGGGTCCCACCTGGCAGCAGCATTCTGTTTTGAGATACCGGAACCTTCTGCAGTGATAGCAAGGGTCCTGTGGGAGTATGGTTTATAGAGGAGGCTACCAGAGACGACTTGTACAGGGTGGAGACCTGGCAGGGGTCCCACCTGGCAGCAGCATTCTGTTTTGAGATACCTGAACCTTCTGCAGTGATAGCAAGGGTCCTGTGGGAGTATGGTTTATAGAGGAGGCTACCAGAGACGACGTCATCTCTGAGTCTCCCTAGGAGGTCTGTCCCAACAGTGCTGGAAGAATAATGTCTACTCAGAGGAAAGAAAGAAATGGAATGGCACCAGTTTAAGGCTTGGGACCATCATAGCCCAATTCTTAACACATCAAAATAACAGTTGTGCTTTTTACATTTGAGTACCAGCTAAAACATCACCCCCAGGACTGCCATGAAGTCAACAGGGGAAGACAGGCTTTGTGACACTGAAGTAGGGAGAGGGGACATTGTGACACTCAGAGGAAAAAAAATACCTCATGATACCAGAGAGAGAGAGAGAGAGACTAGATCTCATGATCCTCAGATTATAGGGAGATTGTCTCTTGATATGCAACAGGGAAGAGGAATGTTGACTTTGCATTTATCAGTTAGCTGACTTCAAATAAAGTTATCTGAAAACAGTGCTAATAATAAGCAATTAAAGTCTCCTGTAGCGGATATGAGCCTATTAGTTCTTCCAGTCCAAACCACTAATCCTGAGGTTATTTGTCCAGTGTCTCCAAGCAGTTCTTTAAGGATTCCTTTAGATCTTTACTCAATCTACAGTGAATGATAGAATATTTACTTCCCCCTCTATGCTAAAGCTGCCACAAAATGATGAAAAACACAGGGGATTTTTCATTGACTGTAGGGGTTACCTTCCAGTCTTTTAAATTTACATTAAAAAATTCACTTTGATAAAACTTTTTTATTCTATTTCCAAGCCAGTCTGCAATTTTTAACAATTCCTGTTTAGGAGCTCATAAATTATGTATATATTCATTTATTAACTTAGTTTATTAAAGACTTTAAAATGTTTCAAACTATATTTATAGATTTTATTTTCCTTTTAAAGATTTTTTTTTTTTTTTTTTTTTTTTTGTGACCAGTAAGGAGATCGTAACCCTTGGTTTGGTGTCGCCTGCACCGCACTCAGCCAGTGAGTGCACCGGCCATCCCTATATAGGATCTGAACCCGGGGCCACCAGCGCTGGTGCTTCCGCGCTGCACTCTCCCGAGTGAGCCACAGGGTCGGCCCTCCTTTTATTTTTTTTATTTATTTTTTTTCTTTAAATTTTTATTTTGTCAATATACAATGTGGTTGATTATTATGGCGCATCACCGAAACCTCCCTCCCTCCTCCCTCTCCCTGCTCCCACCCAAGAATGTCCTTTCCGTTTGCTTGTTGTAACAACTTCAAAGAAATTGTAGTTGTTATATCTTCTTCCCCCCACCCCCGGTTTTGTGTGTGTGTGTGTGTGTGTGTGAGTGAATTTATTTATTTATTTTTAGCTCCCACCAATAAGTGCTCTGGCAACAAATGGAATCCATTTAACTAAAAAATAATTCTCATAAGTCTAATAATCAAACTTTGTAAGTATAATAAATTTAGTACATCTACACTATTATGGATGTCCCAAACTTCTAAATAAATTTAGTAATAATCTAACTTAAAATTATGACTGTAAATCAATTACCCAATTATGCATTTCTAGGTAAACTGAAAAGACTCAGTCTAATAAGTCAAACTTGTCACAAGTTACAAGTTTGTAAAATATCGAGTATGCTGAACTTTCTTTAAAGCTGAAATATTAGTACTATGGATCTGATTCTCCTAAAAGTTTGTGTGTTTAATTCTAATTTTTACAAGGGTAGAAAGATGGATCATCATTAAAGAATGTCTTAACATCTTGGATTATTGAAGCTATTGACTACCAGATAGACAGAAGACTGACAAGATTTGTGTTTGTCATCATGATGGTACATGACAAACTTAATATATAGATGCTATATCAGCTGTTTCATAACTTCAAAAGGGAAGTAGTCGCTAAATCCATATCTCAAGATTGGAGTTATTTGTTTTTTTCCCTCTATTCATAAAATTCTTCAGTTCCATCCAGGCTGATTAATTGATTGAGTTTTAGATTATTCAGATGTATAAATATATTTTTCAATGTAAATGTGGAGTTCCTTGAGTTTGACGGGTTCCTAATAAGTGCAAATATTAAAGACCTTTGTAGTTCATGAAATCTTTCATATTCTTAGGACCATACAACTACTAAGGTCATTTAGCAGGAAATGTGACAGAATTTTATATATTTCATGTCAACTTGAGTGTCATTCGCTCTTCATTGTCCTTCTACTGTCATCTTTTCTTGAGTTAGAAAATGTCTAGTTAGGTTGACACCTCCAACCAAGCAGTCAAATTACAAACATCTTGTGCATTGATGTACTGCACTAAAAAAAGCCCCACAATCTCACTTATGTAGCACATCTTGCATAACATCAAGCAATGAGGAAACAAACATTCAGTTCCAAATTGGGAATATTATGGTCTGAATGTTTGTCCAAATCTCAAGTGAAAGCTTAATCCCCAATGTGGCAGTGTTCGGAGGTGGGGACGTTCAGAGGTGATTAAATCATGAGGGCTCTGCCCTTATAAATGGATGAGTTTATTCATGGATTAATGGGTTAATGGATGAATGGATTATCTAGGGAAGGGGACTGGTGGCTTCATAAGAAGAGCAAATGAGCACATCGGAATTCTTTCTCAGCGTCTTGCCATATGATAACCTGTCACCACAGGACTCTGCAGAAAGTCCCCACCAAGAGGAAAGCCCTCACCAGATATGCTCCTGAACCTTGAACTTCCCACACACCAAAATTGTAAAACTAAATTTCTTTTCTTTACAAATTTCCCAGCATTAGGTATTCTGTTTTAGGCAAAATAAAACAGACTATTACAGGAAATTTGTATCAAGAAGTGGGATGTTGCTTATAACAAATAAATGAAAATATGGAAGTGGCTTTGGAACTGGGTAATGGGCAGAGGTTGAAAGAATTTAGAGGAGGCAGCTAGAGAAAGTCTAGATTCTGGTTAGGGCACAGAATACAAGAAGATTAGGGAAAGTTTGAAACTTCTTAGAGATTAGTTAAGTAGTGGTGATTAGAATGCTAATAGAAAAATGGATAGTAAAGGCCATTATGACGATGTCTCAGATGAAAATGAGGAAGATCTTATTGGAAATTATAGCAAATGTCACCCTCGTTATACAGTTGCAAATAGCTTGGCTGAACTGCATCCATACCCAAGGGCTTTATAGAATGTGGAACTTAAGAGTGATAAACTAGGATATTTGGCAGAAGAAATATCTAAGCAGTGAAGCATTCAGTCTGTTGCATGGCTACTTTTAACTGCACGCTGTAAAATGAGAGAAACAAAGGGATTACTTAAAGACAGAATTTATAATTTAAAAAGAAACAGAGCATAAAAATTTGGAATATTTACAGCCTGCCCAGGTAAAAAGCAAAAAGGTGTGTTTGGGAGAGAGTACCAAGACTATTGCTAAGCAACCACTGCTTGCTAAAGAGGTTAGCACTGATCCAGGGGCTAGGCATCAGGACAATGAGAAAAAGACCTCAAAGCTATTTCAGAGATCTTTGAGTCTGCCCTTCCCATCACAGACCCAGAGGCCTAGGAAGACAAAATGGCTTTGAGGAACAGGCCTGTGGCTCACTTCATGGACTCACTGCCCAGGGCCACCTAGAGATGCTGTTTCCCACACCCCAGCTGCTCTGGCTGTTCCAGCCATAGCTAAATTGGCCCCAGATGCTGCTGGACCTGTTGCTTTGGAAGATGCTGCTTTGGTGTTGCCTATGTGGTATTAAGTCTGCAGGCTCACAGAATGAAATGGCTGTGGAAGCATGGTAGCCTTCACCCAGATTTCAAAGGATGTAGGCAAAGGCTTGGAGACCCAGGTTGAGATTTGTCACAGGGGCGGAGTCACTGCAGAGAGCCTCCACTAGAGCAATGTTGAGCAGAAATGTGGGGTTGTAGTTGCAGCAGAGAATCCCAACCAGGGCCATGCATGGTGGAGCTGTGAGAGCATGTTTGCCACTAGGACCCCAGAACTGGAGAGCTACAGTGGGCTAAGCCCAGGAAGGCCATAGGGATGGGGCTGACAAAGGGGCTGACATGGG